CTTCTGCGGCGCTGCTGCTCCTCGTCGTTCTGATATGCTGCGGCGGTGAAGCTGTGCACGCTGAGGGGAACAAACCAAAGGAAGCGCAACTGCCGCAGAGTGTTGAACTTTTCGTGCCAAATAAGACGAAAGTGGAAGGACAAGCCGGAAGACAAACAAGAGACTTTTTCCTCGCACCTTCGCTCGCCAGTGCTGGTGGAGTCTTGGCCGCTTTTGCCGAAGGTCACATCACCTTTACAGACTTCAATGGTACATCCGGAGGACTCCTTTTTTCTGATGTTGTGGCGGGGTACATTAACGCTGCGGAGAGCTGGGCGTCTCTTGTCGCTGCGGTCGACGCAAACCAGTGGAAGGCATACAGCATCTTCAGCAGAGCCAGTCAAGTGGATCATGTAGGTCGTGCGTTCTACCCCACCACAGTTGCAAAGAACAACAAAGTCTTTCTTCTTGTGGGAAGCCACTATTTGATCTACAACAGTACTGGCTCAACGTGGACGAAAGGTGACTGGAGTCTTGCTTTGCTGGTGGGTGAGCCCACGCAAGGCAAACAGATCCAGTGGGGCCAGCCCCAACAGCTGCTGCCACAGATCGCCCAATCCGCTCAAGCGAACCAACTGGATGAGTTTTCTGGTGCTGGTGGCTCAGGCGTTGCGATGGCGAGTGGCGCGCTTGTGTTTCCTGTGGTGGCAACTCAACGAGGGTCCTCCCTTGTCTCCACGATCATCTACTCGACGGACGAGGGCCAACACTGGGTGCTCCCGAAGGGGATGCTCCCTGGGCAGTGCGCTTCACCCCTCCTCGCCGAGTGGGAGGCGGGGCAGCTTCTCATGATTGCCGATTGTGTGTTTGGCCGCAGGGTGTTCGAGTCGAGGGACATGGGGGCAACGTGGGCGGAGACTGTCAGGGCACTCTCGCGCGTGCGGGGTGATTTCAGATCAGACCCTTTGCAACGGGGCCGGCGTGTGGGATCCCTCACCACCGCGACGATTGCTGGAACGAGGCTCATGCTGTACACCCAGAAAGAGTACCCGCTCGGGGCGACGACGGATACGGAGGCAAAGGATCTTTTTCTTTGGGCCACCGACAACAACCGGACGTTTCGCGTCGGGCCCATTTCCATGGACGCTGAAGAGGTGAGTACTTTCGCCCACGCCCTGCTGTACTCGAACGACAAACTGCACTTTTTGCAGGAGAGGGGCAACGAAACGAGCAATAGTCTGGGTTTTGCTCCTCTGACGGAGGAGCTGAAGACAATCACCTCCGTCTTGGACACTTGGGCGGAGCTGGACTCCGACTTCTCCAAGTCGTCTGTGCCCACGGCCGGCCTGGTTGGATTCCTGTCGGATGCATCGAGTGATGCAACGTGGGACGACGCGTACCGCTGCCTGAACGCAGTTGTGAAAAATGCAAAGAAGGTCAAAAATGGCTTTGAGTTCACTGGGGCCGAGTCCTACGCCTTTTGGCCCGTGAACATGTGGCAGTATGGTAACTTGTACGACTTTGTGAATTACGAGTTCACGCTTGTGGCGACGGTGACCATCCATCAGGCTCCGAAGGAGAGCGCGCCCCTGCTGGGTGCGAGTCTGGAGGCCCGTGGCGGCACGAAGTTCGTGGGGCTGGCGTACACTGCGACGAAGAAGTGGGAGACGGTCTTAAACGGCACGGCAACAGCACCCAACGGCAATTGGGAGCCGGGGAAGAAGTACCAAGTGGCGCTTATGCTGCAGGGCAACAAGGCCTCCGTGTACGTGGACGGCGAGCTCGTGGGGAGCTCCGACGCGCTGCCAACACCCGGGGCACGGGGTTACGAAATCTCACACTTCTACTTTGGAGACGAAGAAGGCGGCAACGACAGAGGCGGCAGTGTGACGGTGACGGACGTTCTTTTGTACAATCGCCGGCTAAGTGCCACGGAACTCAACAAGGTCGAGAGCGCCGACGTACCGGGGAAAGCCGTGAACGACAGATCCGGTGCATCAGGCAACGTTGCAGGCACAAGATCGTCGTCATCTGAGAAGGCTGCCGGCGGAAGCTCGGCGTCATCTGAGAAGGTTCCAGGCGGAAGCTCGGCGTCATCCGAGAAGGTTCCAGCCGGAAGCTCGGCGTCGTCTGAGAAGGTTCCAGCCGGAAGCTCGTCGTCATCTGAGAAGGCTGCGGGCGGAAGCTCGTCGTCATCTGAGAAGGCTGCAGTCGGAAGCTC